AAGCTTGTATGTTGAAGCTTTCTGAGTGGAGCATGTAGGTTGGGGTAGTGTTCCCTTAATTTCCCGAGTGAGGAAAACTTCTCGGTTGGAGACTTGGAAAATCCAAGTCACTGAGTGGGATCGGCTATATGAATCTTAGAACGCCATTGTGCTCGATCCTGTGTCATGTCCTCCGTTAGATCCAAGTACTCTAAGTCTTTTCTTAGAGTCTCTTCCAAAGTTTTCCTAGGTCTTCCTCTACCCCTTCGGCCCTGAACCTCTGTCCCATAGTCGCATCTTCTAATCGGAGCGTCAGTAGGCCTTCTTTGCACATGTCCAAACCACCGTAACCGATTTTCTCTCATCTTTCCTTCAATTTCGGCTACTCCTACTTTAACCCCGGATATCCTCATTCCTAATCTTATCCTTTCTCGTGTGCCCACACATCCAACGAAGCATCCTCATCTCCGCTACACCCATTTTGTGTACGTGTTGATGTTTCACCGCCCAACATTCTGTGCCATACAGCATCGCCGGCCTTATTGCCGTCCTATAAAATTTTCCCTTGAGCTTCAGTGGCATACGGCGGTCACACAACACGCCGGATGCACTCTTCCACTTCATCCATCCAGCTTGTATTCTATGGTTGAGATCTCCATCTAATTCTCCGTTCTTTTGCAAGATAGATCCTAGGTAACGAAAACGGTCGCTTTTTTGGTATTTCTTGATCTCCGATCCTCACCCCTAACTCGTTTTGGCCTCCATTTGCACTGAACTTGCACTCCATATATATTCTGTCTTTGATCGGCTTAGGCGAAGACCTTTAGATTCCAACACTTCTCTCCAAAGGTTAAGCTTTGCATTTACCCCTTCCTGAGTTTCATCTATCAACACTATATCGTCTGCGAAAAGCATACACCAAGGAATATCATCTTGAATATGTCCTGTTAACTCATCCATTACCAACGCAAAAAGGTAAGGACTTAAGGATGAGCCTTGATGTAATCCTACAGTTATGGGGAAAGCTTTCGGTTTGTCCTTCATGAGTTCTTACGGCAGTCTTTGCTCCTTCATACATATCCTTTATAGCTTGGATATATGCTACTCGTACTCCTTTCTTCTCTCTAAAATCCTCCAAAGAATGTCTCTTGGGACCCTATCATACGCTTTTTCCAAATCTATAAAGACCATGTGTAAATCCTTTTTCCCATCTCTATATCTTTCCATCAATCTTCGTAAGAGATAGATTGCCTCCATGGTTGAGCGCCCTGGCATGAACCCGAATTGGTTGTCCGAAACCCGTGTCTCTTGCCTCAATCTATGCTCAATGACTCTCTCCCAGAGCTTCATTGTATGACTCATTAGCTTAATACCCCTATAGTTCATGCAATTTTGTACGTCGCCCTTATTCTTGTAGATAGGCACCAAAGTGCTCGTTCGCCACTCATTTGGCATCTTCTTCGTTTTCAAAATCCTATTGAAAAGGTCAGTGAGCCATGTTATACCTGTCTCTCCCAAAAGTTTCCACACTTCGATTGGTATATTGTCTGGGCCTATTGCTTTTTTTATGCTTCATCTTCTTCAAAAGCTACAACCACTTCTTCCTTCCGGATTCGACGATAAAAAGAGTAGTTTCTACACTCTTCTGAGTTACTCAACTCCCCTAAAGAAGTCGCTCATTTCATGTCCTTCATTGAAAAGATTATGAAAATAACCTCTCCATCTGTCTTTAACCGCGTTCTCTGTAGCAAGAACCTTTCCATCCTCATCCTTGATGCACCTCACTTGGTTTAGGTCCCTTGTCTTCTTTTCCCTTGCTCTAGATAGTTTATAGATATCCAACTCTCCTTCTTTGGTATCTAGTCGTTTATACATATCGTCGTAGGCCGCTAACTTAGCTTCTCTGACAGCTTTTTTTCGCCTCTTGCTTCGCTTTTCTATACTTTCACCATTTTCATCGGTCCTCTCCTTGTATAAGGCTTTACAACATTCCTTCTTAGCCTTCACCTTTGTTTGTACCTCCTCATTCCACCACCAAGATTCCTTTTGGTGTGGGGCAAAGCCCTTGGACTCTCCTAATACCTCTTTTGCTACTTTTCGGATACAACTAGCCATGGAATCCCACATTTGGCTAGCTTCCCCCTCTCTATCCCACACACATTGGGTGATTACCTTCTCTTTGAAAATGACTTGTTTTTCTTCTTTTAGATTCCACCATCTAGTCCTTGGGCACTTCCAAGTCTTGTTCTTTTGTCTTACTCTTTTGATATGTACATCCATCACCAACAAGCGATGTTGATTAGCCACGCTCTCTCCTGGTATAACTTTGCAATCCTTACAAGTTATACGATCCCCTTTCCTCATTAGAAGAAAATCTATTTGTGTTTTTGACGACCCACTCTTGTAGGTGATCACATGTTCTTCTCTCTTCTTAAAGAAGGTGTTGGCTAAGAAGAGATCATATGCCATTGCAAAATCCAAGATAGCTTCCCCATCCTCGTTTCTCTCCCCCAAAACCATGGCCACCATGAAAACCTCCATAGTTGCCTGTCTCCCTGCCCACGTGTCCATTTAAATCTCCTCCTATAAATAACTTCTCCGTCTGAGCAATTCCTTGCACCAAGTCTCCAAGATCTTCCCAAAATTTCTCCTTCGAACTCGTATCCAACCCTACTTGAGGTGCGTACGCACTAATCACATTGATAAGTTCTTGTCCTATTACAATCTTGATTGCCATGATTCTATCTCCTACCCTCTTGACATCTACAACATCTTGTACCAAGGTCTTGTCCACGATGATGCCAACACCGTTTCTCGTTCTATTTGTGCCCGAATACCAAAGTTTAAACCCTGAGTTTTCTAGATCCTTTGCCTTACTACCAACCCACTTAGTTTCTTGTAGGCACATAATATTTATCCTTCTCCTCACCATAACTTCCACTATTTCCATAGATTTTCCCGTTAAGGTTCCTATATTCCACGTTCCTAAACGCATTTTGCTCTCTTGAACTCTACCCTTCTGTCCTAGTTTCTTCACCCTCCCCCGTCTAATAGGATCAAAGTACTTCTTTTGTGTGTCCCGGGTAAAATTGATAGGAGCATATGCTCCCAAACAACTTTGAGTGGAGTCGTTCGAAAAGAAGTTTCTATGGCCCCCTTGCTCATTTAACACTGCATCCGGGTGCCGATGGAGATGCAGCGACCCTTGCTCACTTATCACTGTGCTCAGGCCACACAGCGCGCCACTTACGGGTGACGCCCTAGCTTTAGCGCGATTTTGTTCTGGATTCATTTTCATAAGGATTCGACGTGATCATGGAGTGCCGGCTGTCGACTACCTGACGCCCTCCCCCTCCTCCTTTATCCGGGCTTGGGACCGGCCATGTAAGACATAGGCGGAGTTCAGCAACCCAAATACAACCGCCAAAAATAAAACTAAACAAATTAAAACAAAGGATAGGGGAAAGAGGCGAGACAGAGTCTTAAACCCTGGAGAGATGGAGATGGACAAGATGACAGACGACATGGCCTCTCCATCCAATTCTCAGAAAACTGGTATTTTTCTCCTCCTAACTGCTTGCTTTTCCAGACCCAGAAATTTTTTTCTTTCAATTTTCTTGGTTTTTTTTTATTTATTTTTTAATTTGGGTTATTATTTCATGATTTGCATATTCTTTTGATTGAGGATTGTCATGTGATTTTTTTCTGTTAAAATTTAGTAAGATTTTTTTGTTAGTGCGAAGGTAGATTTTTTTGTTAATGATGTGTTGTGATAAGCTCGAAAACTTCCCAAATGGGTTTGTAATCTTGCAATTCAAATCATTCTTTTAGTTTAGTTGTGCATTGCTTTTAACCTCAGCTAACTGCTGTTTTATAGAATTGGAATCAGTGTAAGTGTAATAAATCAAACTTTTAATGTTATTCATTTAACTGATGTTGATATGTTGTATATTTTCAGTTTCTGATGTTGATATGAAATCGACTACTCCGTCAAACCACATTTTTACACTAAAAAGTCAAACCTAGTACAATTCACTCAATTGCTCTATCTATTTCACACTTTAAATCCCTTTGTGTGGGTCTGAGTTTAGCATTGGTTGGAGCTCGGAGTTTTCTTTTTACAGCAGCATTCTCAATCTTGTTTGGGTGTTTTCGGCTATAAAAGCACTTGACATACGCAATATTAGGATCCCAGGCAAATTATGATTTAGGTCGAGACATTTGAAAAAGTGGACACTAAGAGTGGGAAAGTATTAGGGATATAATTTGCACTCTTTTTAGATTACCAAAGGAGAAGGGAAAGAAAAAGAAACTTGAACTCTCTCCCGCACTTCTGATTAGTTTGAACTTTGATCATGGGAAGGAACTTTCATGGTCAATTGTATTGCCAGTCAGCAGAAACCATGAAGACGGTGTAGTTTCACAGTTTCATTGGCTGTATTCTGTCCAGTCTAGCCGCATTTTCGTAACCTGTCCAGTCAAGGTTTTGTTATTTGGATTTGAACTATTTAGATAAATTGCTGTAGTCTCACGGTTTAAAGGATGGAATTTCAACGGAAGCTAAGTTCTCCAATCTCTTTGAGAAAATTTGACACCTTTTACATTGTCAGACATAAATTGTTCTTGATTCCATTGTTAGTAGCCCTCCTGCTTTCAAGGGATTAGAAAAGTTCCAAGTCTTATGAAGATTAGTGACAAATTGCAAGTATTACATTGTTTTACACTGTTATTAGGATGATTGAGGTTTGCTGCTTTAAAAGAATTATTATTTGTCGAATTGTTCTTTCTACCATTGAAGAATAAACTAGAATAACCTAATAAGAAGATAGCAGAGAAACGAAACCGAGGTTTGAACAAAGGAAGTCTTTTAAGAGTACTAGATTGTAGTGGTTTTGGCTGGCAGTGGTTATATTACTTTGGTGGATTTGGCAGTACTTCTTGAGGTGGCTTATCCGAGCTCGATTTCTTGCAGGCATGAAAAATATGTGACCCAGTACAGAGCAATTTTTGTTGAGAACTGCAAGATTGGAAGTGATCAAATAGTGCATCAAAAAGAAGCAAGACCTAGAAAGGGCAAAAGAGGGAGAGAATCTTCGGAGCATGAAGCAACTCCTACAGGTAACCAGACCGTCAAGCAAGTTTGCTGCTTAGTTTGCTCAACTGAGGTAGGTGTAATCAACGCAGATGAAGTTTATCATTTCTTCAATGTTCTTCCAAGCGAGTCTTGACCTGCCAAGTTTCATTAATCCTGTAATGTAAGCTTTGATCTTCTTTTCCGGTTACATTGGAGCTTAGAAGGGATTGAATGCTTGACCTATACCCATCTTAATGTGTTCCCCACCGCTCTCGAACTTGAGCTAACCCTGCGAGCTTATGCTGTGTATGTTTTCAACCAAACTCTGGATCCAAAGCGAATGTAAACGGTGCATGTGAACTACACGTAAAGCTGATCCTTGACCCATGACAATATAAAAATCTAAGAGACACCGTGCAACCATGTAATAATGAGCAGGTAAAATACAAGGATGTAATGCCACAAGTTTATGTTCACAAATATTATTTAACACATAATGTATGAAAAGGCTATTTGTGAAGCTAAACATGACATGTCACTTCGTAATAAATATATACGTAATTATTGGGAAAATCACATATACAATTATATACATGTATACGTAAAAACAAAAAATCCACTCACAGTTACTTGCGATGCTACATCCTTTCGAGCTAAGAAAGTCGAAGTCTTCAATAGTAATTACACCTAAGCATAATATTGAGTCCCATTAGTAAAACTCAACTAAAAAGATTTAATTTGGAAAAACGGACGGCGGATTCAGAATCAGCACATCGAAATATGCTAAAGATGGTCCTGGGCAAAATTTGAAAAAAAAAAAGTTCAACAAAAAGTCAACCGAGCTGTCCCGGTGGTCAACTATGTTAAAACTTCAGAATTTTCCAAAATGTATGTCAAAAATACTCTCGGAAAGTCGAAATTAGCCTATGAAAGTTTCCGAGAAAATTTCAAAAAAGTCAACTAACAATTACCAGTTAAACTCAACGGAACATTCTCTCCTAAGATGAAATATTCTTTTAAAGTTAACTAGAAGTTAACAGAATATTCCAATAAAATATTCCCTCCAATTTCAGAAATGAATCCGATTGGATCCGGGTTTGGTTTTTTATTTTTTATTTTTATTTTTTCATTTTTTTCTTCTTCTACGGCCAGATTTTCTGGGTAATATTTAACCAAAGATTTCTCATTCGTTTCTCAACCAAAATTGTCACATAATATATCAAAACGAAGCTAGGAAAGTATAGAACAAGACTATACCATTTGGAAGCCGAATGGTTGCTGTAGATGACCGGAAAAAAGCCTTAAAAGGGACTGGTCCGTCGGAAACTGGTAACACGCCGGAAAACTGGACAAACTTTAACCGTGCATAACTTTATTAATACTCAATTTCGTTGAGTGATTCAAAAACGAAAATTGTACTTCTTAATGAGACAAAGAAAATGGTACCTTTCTTAATGGCTAACTTGTCCTGATTTGATCGAAAAATGGCTCGAAAGCCACGAAGGTCGCCAGATTCTGGAAATTTTGGCCGGATTTTGTCAAAAATTTTAAAATTTCATATCTTCTTCATTTTTCAACCTTTTTTGACGTACTTTATATGGAAATGAAGCTTAGAAAGAGAACAAGTTTATACCTTTGGAAAGTCCAAAAATTGGACGGATATTGTCTGAAAATAGCTCAAAAGGCACGGCTCAAATTCCGACATCTCGAATCCGTGTGTTTTCACGTTGGCTTTGGTTCAAAATTAGAGAAGGGACCTCGGAGAGTTGTGTAGTAGCTTCTAGATCTTCCAAAACTTTGTAACTCGATCAGAAAATCGTCAGGAAAATTTGATTTGAGTCGGAGCTTCCAAGTTCGATGTTCGAAACTCAGTTGTTTTCGATTCTGTTTATATGGATGAACTCGTGAGGGCGTGAGGATTACGATGGTGGTAATTTTCAGTTCGATGTAATACGTTTTGGATGATGTGTTTGGTTGCAGAGAAGAAGAGAGGGTACGGTTTGTAGAGAGAGAGTGAGAAGATGAGAGAGAGAGGAAGAGGGATTTGTCTGATATGATTGAGGGAGAGACACGGGTTAACAGAATGATTGTGGAGCAAGATAAAGAAAATAATTGTTCAGTTAGTGTGGTAGGCACCGATTGGAAAAGAAAATATTGATTATGTTTTAATGGAGACGGCCTAACTCACATTAACCATTAACACGGTTCAATAATACTGCAACATTTGTACATAAGTGTACAATTTTACCCGTTATTAACGTACCTATTTATATATATTATTTATATTATCTATCTATCTATATTATTAAGAGAACCTTCATTGTCAACTTTTTGACACACGTCAATTTTGCCCCTCACTTTTGAATGCACAATGATGAAATGAGGAGGGCAAGATGGTAATTTTCTACCTTTTGACAAAATGATAATCATATTCTCATTTTTCCTATTTTACCCTTACTTTTGATACACAATATTTACATAAGAGGGCAAAATGGTAATTATGTAATATTAAAACAAATATGCCCTTATTAATAGATCCCATTATCATTGTCTCATACTCTTTTTAAAAATTTTAAAAACTAATCACACTCTTTAATAAAAAACAAAAAAGAAAATGAAATTGTTCACACACAAAGTGTGTGCTTATACCCTAGTTTTAATTAGGCACAACCTCTTCGTTACAAAACCCGATTCGAGTCTAATTTGCGCCCATGCGTCCGTAATAACGAGTACTATTTTAATTACGATAATATGAAAATAAATTAAAAATCGAATAACAACGTCCATGTTATACTCCACTTTACTAATAAGGGTATAATCGACATTTTACATAGGAAATTAGGGACGGGTCGTCACGCGTACTAAATATTGTTGTATGTTTAAAACCTAAATGTACTACAAACTAAATATTGTTGTAAGTCCAGCGGGGACAAAATGTCCCAGCCCTCAGTCCAAAAAACGTGTCGGGCCTCTGTCAATCAAGTCCAGCGGGTGAAATGAACTGGTACCCAGCCCGAGCTGGGCAATGGACCATCCCAAAATAGACTGAGCAAGAAGCCGGCCTATTGGCCTGGCGCGTGCGATTCACGCTGGTTTGGCGCGAGTGCCCGACACGGTTTCAGAGCCCGGGCCCGCGTGACAGGCGCACTGACTCCCCCCCCCGAGTTGGCGACGTGGCTTTCTTTCGGCCGTTGGATTTCCAACGGCTAGTTTTCTAGACCGTTGGATTTCCAACGGTAAAAAAAATTTAAATTTTACTTTTAACATAGACCGTCGGATCAAAGATCAACGGTCCACGTTTTTTTACAAAAAAGTAAATAAAAAAAAAGGCCCCAACGGTCAGAAATATGACCGTTGGCCACGTGGCAAGTCCCTGACTCTTGGATTTGAATATTTTTCAAATCTAACGGTCCAGATTAATTAACTATATTAAAATTCATTAAAAATTATTAAAAAATACAGAAAAATTATTAAAAAATATAGAAAATTTTAAAAAAATTACAGAAATATTTGAAAAATGTTATTTTTTTTCCTATAAATACCTAACCCTCATCTTCCACCTTTACACCACATTTCAATATTTTCTACACTTTCTATACTATCTACATTTCAATATTTTCTACACTTTAAGAGAAAAAAATGTCTTCGTGGAAGCTCATTGAAGATATTACGTTGTGTGAATGTTGGGTTCACACTACTCATGACCCGATTACGGGTAATGAGATGGATAAGCGAGAAATGTGGAGTAAAATTACGAAAGCGTTTTGCGATGTACATGGAGAAAACGACAGAACTAGTCAAGGTCTTCAAGGTCGTTGGAAAAAACTCAACGCATCATTTACTTGTTGGAAAAACGCCATCTCTCATGCTTCCGGTAACCTCCGTAGTGGGACAAGTTTAGCAGATCAGGTAACAATATTTTTATTTATTTATATGCATTCCACCCACATCAATATTTTGATTTATTTAATTTCGTATGTAATTTTTATGTTATTTCTTATGTAATTTTTATATGCATTCCACCCGCATCAAAATTTTAATTTCTTATGTAATTTTTATTTAATTTCTTATGTCATTTTTATGTAATTTATATGCATTCCACCCGTATCAATATTTTGAATTTATTTATTTGTGTTACACCCGCATTTTTTAACACTATGTTAACCCACTTTTTTATAGACACTACAAGCTCAGGCATTCTACAATTCAAAGAACGGGAACAAATCATTCACTAAATGGGAATGTTGGCAAATTGTCAAAGATTGCCCTAAATACAAAATTGTGGCAACTGGTCCAGAAGTTGTCATGCACAGTATGGGTCTACATAGTTCTCTAGAACCAGACATGACCGAACAAGAAGCCGACACATTTCAAGACACGGAAGGGACGCCTGAACAAGTGCCCGAGACCCAACCGACTCGTCAGTCCCTAAGGCCTCTAGGTAAAAAGGCGTCAAAGAAAAAAGGTAGTTCTTCAAAAAATGACTACACTAAATATATGGAGGAACTTGCTCGCCAAGGTGAACTAAACTTGGCACGAGAAAAGGCTAGAGATGAGGAAAAAGTTGTTGCTATGGCAGCAATATTAGCAGCTACTGAGACCCGTGATGCGGCGGCTGAGAGACAAAGAGAAGTAATTAATCGAGAGAACGAGCTGGTTAGAGAAGCACTTCATCGAGAAAATGAATTGCTTCGAGAAGAAAGGATGGCTCAAGCAGATTGTGACACTATGAGCAAGTCTCTAGTAGGACTGTCTCCGAATTCTAAATATTTTTGGACATCGGAAAAAAGAGATGTCATGCGTAGGAGGCGTGCAAGAGATGCGGAAACAAGTCAAGGGGGTTCTAGCTACACAAATCATGGCAACCAAGATCCTAGCACCACATATCCTAACTCGAGAGACTTTATTTAATTTCTTATGTATTTTTATGTATTTTATTTCTTTTTTCTAGTAGAACTTTATTTAATTTCTTATGTTTTTTCTTTTTTTAGGTTTGAACTTTATTTAATTTCTTATGTATTTTTATGTATTTTCTTTCTTTTTTCTTTTGAACTTTATTTAATTTCTTATGTTTTTTCTTTTTTTAGGTTTGAACTTTATTTAATTTCTTATGCAATTTTAATGTAATTATTTATTTATTTATTTATTTTTAAAATTTTATTTCTTTTGTACTTTATTTAAACACATGAAATAAGATTACATAAACTCACCAAATAAATTTAAAAACAAAACACATTACATAGAATTACATAAACTCACCAAATAAACTTAAAAACAAAACACACTACATAGAATTACTTAAACTTAAAAAAAAAATATAATTTATTCTTCAACCACAAGCCTCATTCTAATTATCTTCGCCTCCATGCAATCCCCATTGGTGCTCAATAAAGTCATTATGGCGGGTTACGTGCCAGTATGGCTCTTGCACATTAGTGTACCGCTGAACGATCAATTCATTGTAACGTCCATCGCGTTCCAACGGCTCATGTTGCACTGGATCTTCGGTCCGGTCATGAGCACAATAGATACGTGTTCTTGAGTTGTTCATCGGATCCGACTCATATTCATCGACGACATCATAATCATACTCATCTTCAACAATCATGTTGTGGAGAATAATACACGTCATCATGATGGATCGAAGAGCCTTGACATCAAACATTCTAGTTGCAGCCCTGACAATCGCCCAACGAGCTTGCAGGATACCAAAACAACGCTCGACATCCTTCCTACACCCTTCTTGACATTTTGCAAAGTGTTTTTCCTTTTCAGTCTGTGGATGTGGCACTGTTTTGACAAATGTTGACCACCTTGGGTAAATGCCATCTGCAAGGTAGTATGATCCCTCGTATTGGGTACCGTTAACCCAATATGTGCATCTCGGCGAGTTTCCTTGCAGCAGTTCGTCGAACACTGGGGATTGGGCAAGGACATTTAGGTCATTCTGAGCTCCTGGAACACCAAAAAAAGCATGCCAAATCCATGTATCAAATGAAGCCACCGCTTCCAAAATGATGCTTTTGGCTCATTTTCTGTCGCCATATGCTCCTTGCCACGCACTTGGACAGTTTTTCCAAGTCTATTGCATGCAGTCGATGCTTCCAATCATGCCAGGGAAGCCTCGCATCTCACCTTTCCTCAGAAGCCTTCGCATGTCCCTTGACGTGGGTGTCCGGAGGTACTCTTTGGTGTAGAGGGCTTCAATTGCAGAGCAAAACCGCATCAGGGACTCCAGAACAGTTGTTTTTCCCATCCTCACGATCTCATCCACTTGATCTGCAGATGCTCCATATGCAAGCATTCGCAAGGATGCCGTAATTTTTTGCTCGGGAATAAGACCTAGAACATGAAAAACATCCTATTTTTGCACAAAGTATGAATCATGGTTGCAAATATCACTCATGATTTTGTTGAACAAATGTCGTTGCATTCTAAAACGCCGTCTAAAAATATGATCAGGGAATATGCTATTGGGAATAAAATAATCTTCCAATAGATTTTTACCTCGTTTTTCCCTTTTTCTATCGAGGTTTGCAACACGTCCTGTTTTGGCTATCTGACCCACAACTTCCATGACACGGCGGGAATGTGAGGCTTTCTGCCTTCTATGGTGATCATCCTCATCCTCCTCCATGAAGAAAGCCTCATCTCCACCTCCACCTTCCTCGAGATTGGCCAATTATGCCTGTTGTGCCAACAACCTTTGTTGTTGCTCTTGCAACTGCTTATACACCCTTATTGAAGAAGACATTGTAATAAGAACTCAAGATTTGAAAACGATGAACAAGGATTATGAGCTAAAAAAAAGGATTGAGCTTGGTGTGAGGATGGATGTAGGGATGTAGGGTTTATATGGACAAAAAAAGAAAGGATGAGGTTCTGGACAATGCCACGTGGCACTACGTGATTGGTTGAAAATCTTATCGAAATCTTGGCTAAATTATTGTAAACCGGAAGTGACACGTGGCGTGTCAGGATTGGTCGAAAATATTATCGGAAATCTATCCACAAAATAGTACGTTCGGATAATGACACGTGGTATGACGTGATTGGTTGAAAATCTTATCGAAATCTTGGCTAAATTATTGTACCACGGATGTGACACGTGGCGTGTCGGGA